ATATCTATGAAATGGCGAGGACAGTCTAAGCGTTTCAGGATCTTTTACATAAGTTCTCTGTTTACAGTGTCGAAGGCCTTGGTAAGATCGACAAAGACATGAAATGGTGCCTTGTTGTTGTTGGTACAACTTCATTTGAATTTGTCGCTTAGAAAATCGTATCCATCTTTCACCTATAAGTCCGGAAGGCACATTGTGAGCAATCAATCAGGATAGCAGAATCCGTATTAGGATTTTACCAGTTGGCTTCCTTATACCTTTGCCGTTGTACAGCGGTATCATGATAACATCTCTCCGGTCTTTTGGAACTCTTTCAGCGTTCCAGGTGTTCATGGGGATTCTATACATAGCAGCCAACTAATCGCCACCATCCCAAAAGAATTTAAATAAAGATACAGTCCTTTTCTGCAACCTTCTAGCATATTTAAATTGATGATAAATGATTTTATTCCCCCAGGGTAAAGGGACCATTCATAGATTTCACATTTGTTTTTTTTTTACCGAAGAGTGGCTAAGAGCAGATTGGCCCTCATGGTGATCCCTGTTGAGCAGATCAGTCACGTGTACTTTCCACCTCTTTCCGATTTCCATCATGCTAGTTAGTAGCTTCGTGCCATCTTTCATTCTGGGTATGAAGATAAACTACATCCGGCAGCAAGGCCTATGATCTGGAGATTGAACGTTTTGAGGAGTGTAGAACCACCTCTTAATTGCTGTTGTTCCCAGGTCCACCCTGATTCGGGGTGGTAGCATCTGTTAGGGCCCCAGCTATGGGTAAATAGTGAACCCCAAAACAAAAATCAACAGTACATTTTTTATAGTAAAATTAACAATAATACCTTTCATGTTGAAGAAAATATGTATCAAAAACACCTTTACTCTGAAAGTATAAAATTATATACAAAATATTTAAATTTCGGCATTAAATAACCCATAGGGGTGTTGATATGCCGCCAAACAAAATCAACCAACAAAACAATCAACATGAAAGAACTCTTTCATGACATTAATCCATATAATATCCTACACTTTCTTAAAGTAATCAAACTGTATTCCAAAATATAACTTCAACAAAACTACAACATAAAACATACATATCATTGTCTCTAGTAATCATGTACACACAAACATATATATGCACAAAACCTGAGTATCATCTACCATGGATTCAATTGTGAAAGCAGAATAACATATATATTATTATTACTTTAAATTTCCCAAGAAAATTAAATTTCAGCATTAAATGACCCATAAGGAGTTGATGTGCCGTTAAACAAACTAATCAATTAATCGTGCGATCCTTTGATCTAAGAGGCGTTACTGTGGCAAACTATCAAATGTTTTTCCGTCTCACGAAAGCCTACGCTGAGCATTGAGTATTGCTTCTTTGAATTAATTGCCTTTCTAGCTGTTGTTGGTTTGATCGGAGGCAGTCCTTTCGCATTATGTGCTCTCGTATCTTGTTCTTATTTGAGAGAATATCTTTAATGACTTGGTCGTTTTCATCAAAACCAACCAGGACTTTTAACTGAAACTAACTCCATATACTCTATTACCGCATTGTAGATCTAATCACATGCTTCTTCCCAGTGAAATTAAAGGAGACTTTAAAGCTTCATGTAAGGCAAATTTAGGTGAATAATCACTGATGCGTATTATAACGACTAGCATCAAAGTGCAGCTGAAGTGTCATAAGCCTGTCGCATATACCACGTGGTAGCTTGCTTATGTGAGACACGAGATTCGTTTCTACAGTAAAATGTCTACACCTGCCCCTTCGTTCATTTGCTTTTCTGCCTAACTACTTTCTGGTTTCGTTTATTTTGTTTTAAGGCAAATCAATCTCAATGGGTTATTTAATACCGGCAAGATTTTTTTAGGATAAGTTCATATGAATAGAATATTATAAATTAATTGATTTAAAATATGTTTTTTTCGCTACACAGTTCTAACCATGTTTCAAAAATGGAAGCTAAAAGCCACGAATTTAATTTTGTGATTAAATTTCGTGGCTTTTAGCTTCCATTTTTGAAACATGGTTAGAACTGTGTAGCGAAAAAAAACATATTTTAAATCAATTAATTTATAATATTAATGCTCTGTAAATTTACATTGAGCACTATTTTGTAAAAATAAAAATATCGATAAGAACACCGGATTATATATCTTGCTGTTCTTTCTTTTTATTTATATACATATATATGAATAGAATATGTATTCTTTCTAAGAAATCTGTTTCTGGATCAGGTTTCATTGACGTATTTTTGTAAAGAGGGTTTTTGTCGAGAGTTAAATGTATTGCTGGAAATATATTTTTTTTTCAAAAATGTATTGCTGATATTCTTATTATAAAAAATTATTTTTGTACTTTCATAATGTTTTGACCCCAGTTTAGGGGTTAACTATTTGCCCATAGCTTGTGCCTTAATGGTTGCTACCTGCCCGATTCAGAATGGATCTAGGAACAACAGTTATTAAGAAGAGGTTTCTAACTCCTCATAAGCTCCAGATCAGAGGCCTTGTAGTTTATCGTCATACCCAGGACGATACCTACTTTCATTTATTAGACATTGAATTTTATCACTTCATGTCCCATGAATTTGCCTGACTTTTCCGTTAACCTGATGAATATTCATGTCAGTCAGTTAGGCGTTATACATGATACACGCTTAGGCGATCATGTCTTTCTGATTCATGACTGACAAGGTGGGACATTTTCCAGCAGTATTTACTGTTTCTTTCTGCCTTAGACAGGTTGCCAATCAAGGGTATAGGACATATTCTGTCCTGCTATTTAACCCATGGCTGGGGGAGAAGATATGAATTCATACCATTCCCAAGTGTATTTACGAATAAGTGAATATAACGAATCCAATTGGAATTTGAACTCGGCTCTCCAATTTCGCATTCCGAGTCGATATCCATTCCACCACAATGCAAAATTCTTTTGAAAAACCAGTCATTTTTTTCTCTTGTATATAACTACTTGTCACAAAATAAAATCCTTGCATTTACCTTGATAAAGTCCCTCAGAGGACGAAACGCGTTGGTTAAGTTTTCCGCCAGCAAACGCTAAACTAGCCAGACTTAATCAGTGAGACAGTCAAAACTTAGGTCACCTTTTTTAGACCGCACCATATATCTGGTGAACAGAGCTGACCTAACACAGGTCTGCTTAGTCACCTTTGGAGCAACCGAGAAGAACCTCTGCTTCCAGCAAATAAATATTTGAAGAAGCTGGTGTTGTGAATGTAAATAGTATATTAAGAACACTGACTAAACAAGACATGAAAGTAACCAAACAACCCCCTTTAAGTAAACATCACAAAGAAAAATGCGTAAGATGGTTCAATAAAACTAATTTATCTACAGTAATTTTTAATGATCTATGTAGAGCTACATTGGATGAACCTAATGCCATGTTAGCGTTCGAATATTTATGAAAGTAGTCAATGGGAAAACTTATGAAAATAGTCAACGGACAGGATTTTAAACATCAGAGGGAGTTTGAGTAATGTTTTGGTTGAGTGGTGTCGGCATTAAAATCATAGGTCCCTTCAAAATTGATGATGGTGTCAAGTGCGAAGATTAATTGTAAATTCTTGGGGAAACTTTTTCAAGTGATACAGATTACAAGCAAGACGTTCTACACTGGAAACTATATTCATGCATGACAATGCGACTTCGCATTCATTCGGTAAAACTGACCAGTGCTCACTTTGGCCAAAAAAGATTCATAGAAATCAAAGTAATGGAACGGTCCATCCAAGCCTCTTCAGTTATTAATCGAATAGAAACGTTTTGGTCTGTAATTGAAAAAGAAGTATTAAATGAGAATATAAAACAATATTGAAATAAAGATTTTTGATAAGCATTTCAAATTGCTACAGTTTTAAAGTCAAAAGAATATAAACATGAATGAAATGAATAAAAGCTTCAGAAAGACAAGGAATTATGTAAAATAAGGAAACAATAGCTTATTCCTATATATGAGATACTGTGTTAATCAAAAAGATGTTTCTATGGCCTGTATCTTGTAGATTTCTTTATAAATAAATTTTTCTTGTTTAGGACTGGGTTTCCAGTTTTTTCTCAAGACTATTTTAACTCTGTCCTTCTAACGTCTCCACCTAAACTCTGAAATTTTATTTACTATTTATTTATTTTACCTTCAATAGGAGTAAATAGGTTCGCCTATCGACAAGTCCACACTCCTTCCCAGTCTTTTGAACAGTAGCAGAGGTTTATTCCTGGTTTCCTGTTTAGGATTGCGTTTCCGATTCCTTTTAAAATGTTCTCTTTCTCTTTCACACCCGGTAGTCGCTTGTATCTTAATGACATTATCGCCTTGTTTGGGGTAAGTTAATTTAGAAAAAAAAAAAAAGATGCTATAAGCTGAAATGATAATATTATATTGTTCATACAAATATATCTTGGACATTTTACCAACAACAGTTGGCTCAAATCAATTTTACTGTGAAGACATTTACTGGTGTAATAAAATCTGAAATAGCCTCTTTCTTTTTCTCAAGTTTGTTCATATCTATAAACCTGTCACAGTTTGTTTATATCTTGCATTATTTTAGCTTGGAAACCGTAGATAAATATTATCATCCAGTTCTATTTTTAACTCGTTAACTGCCGCCTTGTTCCCGATTTGTGTTACCAGAGTTAGAATTGAACATAATATTTATAAGACAATCGTTGTAAATCAATTATTTTCCTGTTTTAGGACAATTAAACTAAAACACCTCCTGAAATGTGGTCTTCAATTGATTTCGGTATCTGTGCCATCCGCTATTTTAAAAATTCATTATCCGATTCAGTTTCACGAAAACAGCAAAATGAATTTCATTTATCTGATGGAAATCTTAGTCTACGGGGATTGATAAGAAACCGATTGTTGCAACGCTTTATAATAGAATTTGGGCTTTTATTATTAAAAATAAGACATGTAAAATAAAAGCGCTTCTCTTTAGAGAATCGGTAGTTAATATCACATGAATTCTTTCATCTATTTTCTCTTTTCATTCACGTCAATCAGTTCATATGTAAGTCTTCATCTTCAAATCTAGCAACAATTTTTGTGTTGATCATTCTTCCCAGTTTTTAATTATTCTTTCCATTAATATTAATGATTTTCTTAATTGTAATATGAAATAATAGCGGCAATAATTAAGATAAAAACTCCATATTTCTTTTCGTTGCGTAATAAATGATTGCAGGGTTTAAAACACGTGAAGAGCATAATTGCTATGCCCAGAATGGGCGTTTGTTTTACATCATATTATATGACGTTACGTTATATTACATTATGAGTGCTAATCTTTTCATATCTCTCAATTCCGAGAGTGTATTCATATCTATCTTGCTTGCAGGATTGTTCGTATACATCTATCTAGTTTGTTCGCATTTACCTACGGTTAACTAAAAAGTATTCTGATCATATTTACCTATTATCGTTTATGTTTCTATCAGTTTTCTTTCTCTTTCTATTAATCTACCTATCTGTTCCCCTCTCAATTTATTAGTTATCGTCTCATTTCTCAATCAATCTATTATCTCCCTTTTCTCTCTATCTATTCTCTCTATCTGTTATCTTCTCCCTCTCTTCTTCCAATCTATTAATTTTTCTATCTCCCCCCTCTCTGTTGATCTATTCGTTCGCTTCTCTCTTCTTTATCTATTCTTTTGTCTCTCTTCTCTCTATTTTTCACTTCTCTCTCTTTGTCTATCTGTTTTCTTCTCCCTATGAGTTACCTTTTCTTCTCTCAATCTGTTATTTCCCTTTTCTCTGTTCTCTATCTCTTCTCTTTATGTTACATTCTCCCTCTTATCTCTATCTATTAACTTCTCTCTCTCTTCTCCCTCTCTCTCTCTCTCTATCTTTTCTCTTCTCTCTTCCCTATCTATTCTTTTGTGTCTTCTCTATTTTTCACTTCACTCTCTCTTGTCTCTCTCTCTATTTGTTATCTTTTCTCCTATCTATTTACTTCTCTCTTTACTGTTTAATTTCTCTTCTCTCTCTCTCTCTATCTACCTGTTTTCTTCTCTCTCCTTTATATATATTTTTCTCTTCCCTTCTCTCTCTATTTATCTGCCTATCCTCTTCTCTCTGTTTATTCTATCTATCTATCTATCTATCTATCTATCTATCTATCTATCTATCTATCGTCTCTTCTTTCTATTTTCTTATCTCTCTCCTGTATATATATATATATATATATATATATATATATATATATAGTCTCTTCCTTTCTTTATCTATCTATCTATCTATCTATCTATCTATCTATCTATCTATCTATCTATCTATCTTTTTTTTTTATAATTGCTTCTCAACTTCGTATGTCTCTCTCAATTTACATCAATCTATCTTTTACGTGTTTTTCTCGACTATTATAATCTTTATTAATTTATCTGTGTTTTTTTTTGTCTTATTTTCTTTCTTTTCCTTTTACTACTTTTTCTTTCTGTCTCGATCAATCAAGCGAAATACATTCCGCAGATATTTGGCTGCCGACCATTTTTACATTTAGCAATGATTTTCCAAACATAATTTCCAACCCCAAGCGACTAGGGCTCATACGACGACCTTTGATACAAAGCCGGATACAAATGCATTATTGTATGTCGGACAACTAAATTCTATTTCCGATTTTCCATCCTTCGTGTTTTGATTTTTTTTGTCTTAGTTTCCGTTTTTGATGTAATGGAATCTTTCGTGGGTGGTGCGTGGCAACGCGCAAAATCGACAGCGTATATTTATCTCGTAGATTCCACATCATCAAAGAGTTATCGTTCTTTGAATGAAAAACTGTGGTAAAGATCGGGTGGTGGTGTGAAGACGTATGAACGCGATCATAGACCAATACATCAAAAGGGCCCTAATGAAAGACTGGCTCATACCGGAAATTCGCGCACGCGCACAGATTAACCTGGGGCGCCAGCCGTAAACGTCGAACCCGACGTTAACAAAGAAGCCACGTGACTAGGACTTTTACAGCCAATCAGGTGGGCTTTGAACAAATTCCGCGTTGCCCGTCTTCCTATAAATAATAGTAATACAAATTACTTGTATTTACTAAAAATTGAAGGCAAACACTGTTTTCGTTTCGAAAGACGATAGCTCTGTTGACTGCCGGAGTGCTGATGATATAGACTAAGTATAAAGAAATTAAAAATTATATATTGTTTTAATTTGAGTCACCCCAAGCAAGGCAGGACAGTCACTAACACACAAGGGGTTACAGGGCGTAGGGTAATTAGGGACAGGGACGTTAGAAATGAGTAGAAAAAGAAAAAAGCATTCAAGAGGACGTAGATAGCGATTGACATTGCATTTAAATTCTTGCGCATTAAAGTTGGCTGGAAAGCATGGAGACGGAAGGGAGTTCCACAAGAGAGAAGTGCGAGAAAAGAAAATGTTAGCGTAGAAGTCACGGTTACATCTATCTAGCATATTGATGTGTTCTCGCCGTCAGTCTTGTATTGCGCTTAAACTCATACAGTCCAGGTACCGTAGTAAAGAAATCACCCGAACAGTTCCCATGAAAGTATTTGTCAAAAAGAGAACCTTATAGCGGTGGACAAGTGACTGAAGCCAAGCCGCCAGATCAGGACCAATAATATTGCTGATTCTTCTTTGGAGCTTATCAAGGAGCTCCAGGGGCACCGGATCGTATATGACAGGAATATTCTAAGTATGGATGAATGGTAGACTTATAGATATGCAAGATAAATTTTGGTGAGAAAAATTGTCTTGCCCGACACAGTGAACCGACTTTCTTAGCAACTGACTTAGCAATGGATTCAATATAATTTTTCCACTTCATGTCAACCGAGAACGTTAGCCCGAGAAGGCTCAACAAGTCACTTTCCTGGAGGGTAGCATCAGCCATATTGATGGAAGGTAGAGAGGGGTCTCTCAGATGATTAATAAGGTGAAGTTTACTTTAGAGGCGTTAAAATTGACAAGCTGTCTTTTGCCCCAGTTAACAACGGTCTTGAAGTCGGTTTGTACATCAACTGCCATTTTGATATTGTCGGACTAATCAGCCTCAGTATGTAGGCAGGAGTAAATCGTAGTGTCGTCAGCGTAGATGCAAAGTTGGGAGCTGATGTCACTGGGAAGGTCGCGAATGAAGATTAAAAACAGTGTAGGACCAAGGATAGAGCCCTGGGGACACTCGCCTTAGTACGAAAGGATGTAGACAAGTGGCCATAAAAAATGATAAAGAATCTTTTCCTTCTTTTATGTACCGTGTCCCTTCAGGACGTAGATCATTATAGCTCTCCACTTCTTGACTCTTGTAGCTTTCAATAAATTTTATCTTTTTTTATATTTCTCCCAGGCTCTGTTCTGTCATCCACTTGCTTAAGCCCGTTATGTCACACGTTGCTTTCCCTTGTCACTCTTTCTCTCTATCCGCCCTGTGAGTATAAGATTTTCCAAGCCCTCCTTTCTCAATACATGTCCCAGAAATTTCAGCTGCCTCTTTCTAATGTTATGTTTCTTGTTTGTTTGCATCCTCTCTAAAACCTCATCGTTGTTCATATGTTCGGCCCATGGTATCCTAAGCATCCTTCTGTAGGACCACATTTTTTTGCTTCGAGTCTCTTCTTCATCTTTGAGGAGACCGTTCAAAATTCGCTGCCGTAAAGGAGGACAGATATCACGTAGCAGTTCAATACTCTTTTCTTTGTTGCCAACGAAATCCTCCTGTCTCGTAATACTCTGCCACATCATTTGAGTAAAATTCGAAAATTTAAAGTTAAATTAATCTGATTTGAAATAAGCATTACTTACTTAGAGCATAAAAAAGTAATTTGTTAATGATTGGTCCTATTTATCAGAAGCGATGATTGATGGACGATTTGTGACGAAGCGATGACAGATAGTATGGCTGACCAGAATTGACATAATAAATTTACGAAAACAAAGTGAACGCATTTTTTTTGTTTTTAACTACCTAGTAATTTTTGCAAATGAACACATTTTCCGGAATTATCTAATAATTTATTGGCTTTTATTTACCTTACGAAGATGCTTTATTCAAAAATAAAAAAAATTAAAATACTATAAAATTTACTTAAATTAATTTCTCTGTAAAGAGACAAAACTCTTATATCACGTGACCTTTTCATAATAATGTCGAGTTTAGCATTTCATAGATGAAAAAGGGAACAAATTAAGTAAAAAAACAAAAAAAATTATTTAAAAAATATAATATTGTAACTATGTTTATTAATCTTTTCAATTTTTGGATTTGTAAATTTCATTTCCACTTAATTACTATATTACATCCAGGAAATAGCCCAATACATAATTTTACACGATTTTAAACTATTATAAATTATTATAATTAAAATAGTTTAAAATCGTGAAAAAATTCTGTATTGGGCTAATTATAAATTATTATATATATTATTCTTGAAAAAATGCATTATTCATCGGAAAAATTTTATTTCTTCAGACAATAGTGTCCTTAATATAAGTTATTTACAAAAATAATTAAAAGCTTTTCTAATTAAATAATATGGTAGTTTTATTGCATTCATTATTTTTCAATTCAGAGCAGATTTTAAGTTAGAATAGTGAAAGTTTGAAAAAAAAGGTGATTTATTCTCCAAGGAGTTCTACTTTTAACGAATAAAAGAAAAAAATCATGAAATAGAAAGGCTTTTTTCGAAATTTTATGAAATTAAGAATTTGGGGAGGTAACATATTTAAAAAAGAAATATTTTTACCAAAATTTTCTAAAAGAAATTTCAAAAATAATTTCATTCATTTGTGAATAAGTCCTGAAAATTTAATTAAAATCGGACAATTATTTGAATTTTTACAAGAATGTCCAAATCAATGGAAAAAAAGCGCAAAAAAGTTATTGTAATTTACCCTGATGACGTAAACAAAACAAGATTTTAACCAAAATTTTGAACGTGTTAGAAAGGACTAAAAAATAAAAAAAAAATACCTCGGTCTTTCATCTTAATTTTGATTTTGACGATAAAACTTTATTTTTTTTAAAGTTTGTGGCCTTTTTCATTACGCTACGCTTGTGAACTCACTGGAAAGAGAACGAGTAATAACTGATCAGTACTAAAAATAAGAACTAGATGAGCCATGGGAAGTGGAACGAGAGCAGCCTAACTACGTAGATTAAATAAAGGTTTCAGTTCTGAATTCTCTGTAAGTTACCCGGATCGAGATACACCTGATGAAGGCAGGAGAGCACAACGGTCGAAAAATTGTCATAACAACGACAAAAACGAGGAAAACAGTCCGAATGTAAATAGAGTAAATAATAATAATTCCTTTTCCCCAGAAATCCAGTCAGTGGGATTGTTATTAGCTCTTGAATCATACAGGCGAGTAATTTCACATTCCAAACGATAGGCTCTCCGGCCACCTGCAGGATGGTTTTAGTGATCTTTGTCTCTTCCCGTAGTGAAAAGTTGACAGATATTGCATAAACAGGGAATGGTTTCGGATAGTTCTTGTGCTGTCGTGAAAGTTAGATTCAATAGAAGTAAGTCTGGAGCCAGCCCATATTTATACTTAACCTTGTGAGGTAGTTTGCCGATAGGCTTCCGGTTATCTGCACGTGTTCAGTTGTTATGCGAGATTTTACAAACGTTATTTTAGAACATATTTACGATCTTTCCGGTGGTCGACAAATTGGAATATTATGCCTGCATCAAATTTGGCGCGAAGCTTAGCAAATGAGCCGCAAAATTCGTTGAAATGCTTTCGTCAGGACTTTTTACTCAACTCGAGAAACTAATTTTCTTGAAAAAAATCTTTTTAACAAAAATATTTTATAAATTTCGCAACGCTCACTAATCGGTCAAAGACTGCAGAATGTTTCCTTATAAGGAAATGGTTAATCTCACGATGACTTGAAGTTTTCGATTAGTTTCTTCGTTTCGTTTGATTTCTTTTTTTTTTATCACAACTTTTTGAATCGATCTGCTTGGTTGATCGAAATTGCTGGAAAGTAATTTAACGACCGAAGCATCGAGCGGTTAAAGACGCAGGGATATATATATGTATATATAAAAACAACCATGAAAAAAAATGGCAGAAAACAAGAATCTGTAAAAATTATAATTTTAAATAACAAGCGCATCTTTCTATTTTACATTTATATGTTTATACTATTTCGTTTTGTTTGTTTGTTTGTTTGTTTGTTTCTTTTTTTCTTTCTTTCTTTCTGTCTTTCATTCTTTCTTTCTTTCTTTCTTTCTTTCTTTCTTTTTCTTTCTTTCTTTCTTTCTTTCTTTCTGTCTTTCTTTCTTTCTTTCTTTCTTTCTTTCTTTCTTTCTGTCTTTCTTTCTTTCTTTCTTTCTTTCTGTCTTTCTTTCTGTCTTTCTTTCTTTCTGTCTTGTTCATATACATGTATCTAATGTTCCACCAATCTACATGTATCATGGCAGTTATTCTAATCTATCTGGTTGA